CCATTTTTTTCGTCGAATTCTAATATCTGATTATAAAAAATAAAATGATTAAAAACAATTTTGTAACATTATTAAAATATGTGATTAATCAAAAATTAAAAAATATATTATTTCATCATGAATTTCCCGTCGGTTTTTATATTAATTTTGTTACTTTTTTACAAAAATTAAAAAATTGTTAAATTCAATATGTTTGCATTTAGTTATAAAGATTTATATCGATTAAAAATCTGGAAAATTGATTATTTGTTGATTTTTTTAAGAATTTTTTGGGAAAGATTTTTTAAATATTTTTAAAAATTAATTAATTTTTTTTAATCTTGAATTTATAAATTTATTATTATTTCAATATTAATCATTTAATTTATTTAATTTTATTCGTTATAATTGTAAGAAATGTTTCCGATGTGATTTGAATAAATATTTAATTAAAGATTATTTCAAAACCAATAATCACATTTATTAGATTAATTATATTAATTATTCTGATGTTTCTTTCACAATTTGAAAAATCTTTATTTTTAATTCAAATTATTTCTGATTATCACAATCTAGAATATTTTATATTTATTAAATTTTTAAATTATTGTTAAATTTAATGATTCAAATTTTTTTTGTTTTAATTTTAAGATTATTTATTGGTTTAAAAAATATAAAATGAAATCCAATAATTTAATTAAAAAATTAAAAAATCTTTTTTTAAAAAAAAATGAATGTCTGTTATATCAAAATTAGATTATCTTAAAATGCAAAAATCTTAATTTGTTTAATCCGTTTAAATTAACAAATCTGTTCAAATCAAATACTTCATTTAATTTATTTAAATCAATCAGTTTGTTTTTTCGATCAAAATCAATATTAAAAGATTGATTTTAATCAAAATTATTAAAAAAAATTTTTGTTTCGATGGTTTTAATTATTTAATTTTGTCAAAAAATTAATTTTAAAAATAAACAAAATTTGCAATTATCATTTGAAATTTAAATTAATTTGAAAAACGTTTACAAAAAAGATGATTTAATTTATGAAATCTAGAAATTTTTAATTATGAAAAAAAATTATTATTTAAAAATCATTTTAATTGTTTGTGAGAGACAAAATAATTTTTTATTTTATGAAAATTATTTATGAATTTTAGATAACAAACAATTAACAGTCGATTTAATTCAATTAATTCATGATAAGTTTGCTTTTGAACATTTTAAAAAAAGTTGAATTTACAAACATTATTTCGAAAATATTATTAATTTAATATGTATTAATATGTGATTCAATAAATTTAAACTTGTTATATATGTTATTATATTATTTTATTGTGAAAAACAAAATAAAATATTTTAAAATCTTTATTAATATTTAAATATGTGTGGCAAAATGTGTTTATAGATTTTATTATTTATTTATTTAAAAATCAAAATTATAACATTATATTTGTGATGATAAATCAACTAATTAAAATAAAATATTTGATTTTATGTAATGTGATAATCAATATTTAAAATGTGACAATAATGTATATTTAATATATTTAAAAATTATATAATCTATTTTAAATTATTATATTAAACAAACGTTTTTAATTTGCCGTTAAATTTTAAAAATATTTAATCAAATATTTTAAAATAATGAATAAATTGTCAATCGCATATTATCTTAAAATCGATAATTAAATTGAATGTGTGAACATTATAATAAAACAATATTTATAGATTTATGTAAATTATTTACAAAATAATTGAAATGTTTGATTTTTGTTAGTTAAATTTATATTAAATAACATCTATTCAAATATTATCAAAATCATTTCATTTTTTGCAAATTATAATTTATATTTTTGCATAGACTTTGAATCGATATTTGTAAAAAATTATTATATATAAAATTAATTTATTATTTGAAACATTAAACAATTCATTATCAGAATACAAATTATTATTGAATTTATTTGCGTAAAAATGATAATTATTCAAATCTAATATATTAAATAGATGGATTGGAAACGTTATTGTATTAAAAAATTTAAAAAAATTAATTAATATAGTTAAATATTCAATATATCAAAATCTTACATTTCAGCAAAAAACTTGATTGGAATATGTTAAATTTATATCAAATTAAAAAAGTTATCAATCCGCATATTTATTGTTTACAATTATTATTTAATATGAAAATCCATTTTATATTTAATGTAAATTTGTTTATATTCATTAGTTAAAATTTTTTATTAAATCAAATCCAATCTCTTTCATTACATGTGGAAGTTGAAGAACTCGAAAAATGAAAAATAAAAAATATCTTTGATTTTTTTTAGAATTGTCAAAAATACAGCCGTTTTTGTTTGATATATATTGTAAAATGAATAAAATATTTAAAATATATAAAACAGATTGTTCGCAATTATTATCGCAAATATTTAAATAAATTTAGTTTTCATTGACTTTGACAGAATTCAATTATAGAAAAAAAACATATTATTATAATGCAAATTCAAAAATGATTATTGCATTCATTAATACGATTATATAATTGCATCATTTTTTATCTGTCTGTTGTCTCAAGATCTTGTTGTAGTTTTTGAGCTATGTCTTATCTATCAATTTGTATATAACTTGACTCTGTAGTAGTCGAGTATCTGGTATTCAGGAACCTGCCTGCCTGCCTGCCCGCTTGCCACCAGCTCTACCACCCCCCGCCGGCCCACACCTTGACATAAAGGAATGGTCATGTCCAAAGCTCGACCCGATCCAATTTGGACAAGAACTTGCGTTATATTCACTTTTAGGAGTGGTTACTATGCTTTTGGACCATTTACGGAATGGAAATTCGGATCTTCTGTTCATGATGATAAGCAAGAGCGGGATTCGTGCTGCAAGGAGCACTAGTACAGTACCAATAGTTTTGCTCGAAGCCCGCAGCTGGTAATCACCCTGGAGCCCAGTCTGTACCTCCCGGCAGCATAAATCTGGAAGATTCTGTTGGAGCGGTGATCGGTTGGCCTCAGTCTAGTCCCGATGTAGTTGACGCGTCACGTGATCCACAGTGGATCGCACCTAGTTAGTTGCACCTCGCTGAGCGAGCCTTCAATGCAATTCAGACATTCCATATATTTCTGGCTCCACCGTAGCCGTCAGATTCTTTTTTGTGTAGAAGAAGAATGGTCAAGAAGACTGTGAATGGCCGTTGTTGACAGCTTGCCAGATCCGACGAAGAGATGGAACCTTCCAGCCGATTCCACCAAGTTTGTATGGCTAGTACTAGCTGTCACGAAATGTATTATATTGTCACGGAACAGATACTGTATATATTACTGAGTATGACATCATTATCTATATATAAATTAAGTTCTGTTTTAGCGCCTTGGCACTAGGGTTTGGGAAGAAGCTTTGGTTTTACGGGGGTGAATGAGGTTTCGAATCTCAGTGTAGAATGTATGAAAAAGGGAGCTACTGCATTGTTGATTGGATATCAACCACATTTATTGGAGTGACAGCGGGGTAGCTTTCCAGCGCAAATCGGCCACCCTACGCGCATAACTAAGAATCGCAGGAGCGTTTCGTATTATTTCATATGCTGGGAGGAGAAAGTCAAGCTACCCCGCGTCTCTCAAGGAGAGCCTAAGGTATAAGAAACACGCCTCTTCCTAACTTTCACTGACTACTGCCTCGCAATGAAGACAACGCTTTTGAAAAAGTCAACGAATCAGAGTATGAGCCTAATATATACCTATATCTCTCTCTCGTTTATGAGGTCATGTCCATATTGATAGTTAAACCGAAATTCGTCTTACCCCAGCATCCCTGTCAGTACACCATGCCTTCATTGGATGGATACCCACAGCCCAGACTACGACCCAAACGGCTTCTGCGCCAGAGATTATTAGCCTTCGCTATTAAGGGCTTACAGAGTACACCACCAAGGGGGGCCTACATTTACTTACCCACATGGGTTGGAATAATTTCTTGCAAGAGACCTGGGGGATGCTAAGGTATTAGGAAATGCACGGACCTACGATCTTGGCATACCCCCGTGGGTAAGTTCACCGCCCAGTTTAGATCCTGGTATACTCATGGGGGTATGCCAAGATCGTAGGTCCGTGCATTTCCTAATACTTTAGCATCCCCCAGGTCTCTTGCAAGAAATTATTCCAACCCACCTAAACTCTCCACTATATCCAGAAACACCGATTCCACAAGACTTATGCCGTCCTATTGTTTATTGTACTGTATACGAATATATTACATGGGAGTGCAAAGCCAGCTTTATTATTGCCTTCTACTCTCTCCTTTATTTGGGCTTAGACGATAATAACCACAGGTAGCCTTTAGCCTCCCAAGAATTTACCGATGGTTCTGGGAGCGGCTCGGACCTTCCAGCAGGATAGAGTTTATTTTATTGGATCCCCGATCGGATTTTGAGATCACTATACATATTCTTCGGAGTAATTTAGTTCCTATATAATACGGTTAAATTCTCAGGAGGGTAGAGGCTAGCCGTGGGAGCTCAATTTGAGTTTTCATGAGCGAAAACACCCTCAAGAACTGAGCTGTATGCTCGAAACGGATCTTAGGTGCCGAATTATCAACAGCGAAGGTAAAAGTTCAGTAGTTCCTTAACTAGAGATGAACAAAGTCATCTATCTCAAGGCCTTTAATGGTATCGTTTAACCCACCGAAAAGCGCTATGAATGTGGAGTCAAGGCAATTGTGCCGGTATTTAGAACGACTCCATCCCGGACCGGACCACTCTGGCGACTTAAATGATAGCAGGCTTTGCACAAGGACTCTATATCCTAAGCCTGGGAAAGGAGCTGCGGGCCCTGGTGCAAGCAGAGCATTCAGCTGCATTTGCTTTGTCAGAGCTCCATACATGATTGAACTGCATTCAAAGCCACACCCTTTACTGCCGTTTTGGAGTTGATCACGTATATCTTGAAGTTGGAGAAGCAGGCCAGTGATCTCTTCCTGTCTTCGATCATACATGGACCCTGCAATTGAATTTAGCTAAGCATATTTGAGGATTCGTGTGCCCATACTTATGATATCATCGGGAATTGGGAGCCCGAGATTCTCAACCCAGTCGTTACTCTGTGACATGGCGATTGCGGTAACTTTTTCGAATTCTGTAGGGAGGCGGAAATACCAGGCAACCCATAACCAGAGTATCAGGTTCCTAGAATATGTTGAGGGGATAGTTTCATCTAAGCTGTTGATCCATGTAGACACTACAAGATCAATAGCTTCCCTACAATCGTAGTAGTCGGCCAAAACAGCAATTTTCGCGAGCATCTCAAGTGTAAGTTTTCGAGGTACGTCATAGGACTGGCAATGTATAATGCGAAGCATAACCAAGAGGGCCTCGGTATTCCAGCCTTGTGCAGTGATTTCAACTGAGCCTTCTTGTAGATAAGCGATGCCTTCTTTCCAACTACCAGTGAGTATCTTTTTAAAAACTGATGAGGCGAGTATTAAATGCTTCGCGGATACTTGGATGTGGATGCAATTTTCCTCCGGCTGTCCCGCTCTTTCGGAATCAGATTCTTTAGCAAATTCATGGGCAGGCTCTTCTGTGTGTCTATCAACGGGTGCATCAACGCGTTCTTCGGCAGCGGATCCTTCGGCAGCAGGCCCTTCGGCAGCAAGCCCTTCGGTAGTGGGTTCTTCAGCGGCAGGCTCTTCTACTGATGGTTGAGTAAGTACAGACAGATTCCTATTTTTTTTTCTCCTTCTGTTTGGGACTCCGCGTGCGCTCATCTCCCGAATTTTTAGTCTCTTTTGCGGGGAGTATGGATATCATCACTTAGTCCGGGAAGGGTAAGGGTGGAATCGTTGTTGGACATACCTTCACTCATGTCTGCAAAAGGAGCATTTGGGCTTCTCAATATTATGATAACCTCGCCGTTCGGGTCAATAATATGAGTTGCACGGTCCATGATAGTTGCGCGTTGCGGAATCTTAATGCTCAAAACTATCTTGCTTGATAAGGGTGCAAGAATGAAGATAAGTTTGGAGATAAGTACCTTGGTTTCCTTTTCCTGCGAGTGAGATGTGGTGGTCTTTGATTGGTATTGATGATGGCAGCCTTACACATACAACGTGGCCATCAGTGCATCAATTCGCAGTTGAATGCGGGGTGGCCGTGTCTAACATTAATTGGCTCGATTCGCTGTCAGTACATAACCAAAGGCTTTAGGCTGGATAAATTGTGCTTAATGTGAAGTCTACTAACAAACACATACATGCACAACATAGATGGCACAGCCGCTTCTAGGATATACAAGTTACTTCAAGGCCCGTACTCGTTTGACTACCTTTGAATCTCTTGGACAAAGCGACAAGCCTATATACCCTATACAAATAGATCCTTGTCAATCAGAAGTGGTTAACTGGAGGGAGGCTGCGTCACTTGATCCAACAGACTATTACTATACCGCTCGAGTCTAGACCTCGACAAAACCCGTCATGGGTCCAAGGTCAGGACCCAAACCCACGGGTCGGGTAAAAGGTCAGGACCCATACCAATTATCCGTCAACCCGTGGGTTTTTTTGGGTAATCCGTGGGTAAACCGCCAAGAACCCAAAAATACATAAAAGTGTATAAATAACTTATTTAAGAAGATATTAGCGATAATCAACTGATGATTCATCTATTTATGTACATAATATGTTATGTTTGCACTGTTTATAAACCCACGGGTACCCAAGAAAAACCCACGAGTCGAAGTATAGACCCAAAACCCAACCCGCGGGTTTTAGTGAGGGACCCAAAACGGGTAAACCGCGGGTTGTGTCGAGGTCTACTCGAGTCAGACCACTATCTGGCAAGAACCACAAGGCTTCAGTGTATCCGTGGCCATTATCTTGATTTATCGGCCGTGGCACTCAAAGATTGGTCTACGCGAGTAGTCAGCCTTGTTCCCATGTGTGTGAAGCGAGCTGAAGCGGGTTTTCTGTTATCTGTCGCTAGCCTTTACGCTCGATATTGGCAAAGATCACGAATTAACAGCCTTGTCCAGAAAGCCTTGGGGCTGTGTTATCAGAGATTACTTCGTGGTGTACGTTGATTGGCTTCTGTACTTGCAATAATGCAGTCATGTTACTGTCTTCTTTGGGCTCATTGCATAGTAGGCTGCAGAAATTATTGCGGTCGGCCCGAAAGCTTTGACGCAGAATCTTGGTGCGGAGGGTGATGATGTAATAATTTTCAACGGGGTTCATTATCCATGGGTTTACCCCGTTTCAACCTACGATATGTTTCCTAATTTCTTGGTATCCCTCTACCACAGGAAAATCATACTAGTATCAAATGGAACATCGGTTTTGGACTAGCACTACTCTGATTAACCAAAATACAGGCGCTAAATCAAGCTCGTAATCCGTAAGCGCGGACATGTGGGCGCCAAGGTGCTTACACTTTTTCTTTTCGAACGGGACAAGGAAAAAATATACAATTAATCCAAGAGCTTCAGGTGCAGGCAGAGGAACATAATATTCTGAAGTGTCCTAATATAGTCATCATATGCTCCAGCGACCGGTGAGAGTGGAAAACAAGATCATGTAACGTTGATGTCATAACTACAGTTCTTCCAGCTCTGTCTCTTGTACCGAGCCCAATATTCCATAGGGAGAATGGTACAAGGCCAACGCAGAGACGTCTACAATGTGATTTTTGTTGTCAAAACTCGCCGTCACAAGATTCCTAGCGCCTATTTGTTGTTCCTGATTGGCATAAAATTACTTGGCAGGGAGCGGGGAAGTTTGCTACAACAGTGATAACATTCCATAACATAGAACCATTATTATTTCGCTCTCTGATCTCCTTGGGCACAAAGACATGGACAGGACAATGGACCCGAGAAGAGAAAGAAATTCTGCTGAAGTTGTGATAACTATTGATGCAAATGACAATGATACGGATGCTGGCATTTTTTCTTTACAATGGGCTGCCAGTGGACATGGGTTACATCGCTCGAGGTAAGCACATGAATGTCCAAGAGAATGAGCGATTAGCTATCTAATGATTATCCCCAGCTATATTGGAGCCCTGTTACTTAATGTCGGCGCCTTCATACTTCCTGCGCTATACAGTACCTTGGTCAAGATCTGGATTGTTAACATCGACTTCTTCTTGGTAGTCATAATAGACGCCTATATCTATATTGGCACTATCACGGAGGTCCTCAACGAAGGTTTTCCACGCGCAGTCTGGGTGACTATTGCTGACAAATCCACGCGGACATATGAATCTCGTTTGGGACTTGCATATACTCTAATAGCGTTTCAGTCATTTCTAGGACTTGCCATGAGCATTATATTTATTGATGTTGCTACGGCATTCGCTGCGACCTTTGTCCCACGTGAGGTCCAAAAAGCTAGTATCACCTATGTCCGAATTAGTGCGTTCTCGGCTTTAAGTTCCGTCATTGAAGTTGCGACGTCGAATGCCACAAGGGCTTTGGACAAGCCAGATGTTTTTTTTTTGATAAGTTCCGTCAAGATTATGGTGAACATTGTGTTGGATCTATTATTGATATCCAAGTTCCATGTGGGCGGCTGGAACCCTAACCTCAATTTGCAGGCCGTGGTTCGTCTGACCTGTGAAATGATCGCGGCGCTCTCGGGTTTGTTTTATTTCTTTAGTTCTACTAAAAGGGCAAGTACCAGGCTTAGACATCTCTGGAGCGAGAATATGTTTAGTCTGTCTGTCCTGTTTACGCTTCTCAAGCCAGGTTCGATCGCCTTTATGGAGTTAGCCATTCGAAATACGTTTTATCTCTGGCTGGTGGCCGGGATCGTCGCTATGTCGGCAGATTACGCCACGGCCTGGGGTATTTTCACCACGATCAGATGGGGATTAGTTATGATACCGGTTCAGGCTTTAGAAACGACGTCATTAGCATTTGTCGGACATGCTTGGGCAGCATCTAGAATTGCTGGTGTGCAACGTGAGAAATGGAAGGTTTTTTTCAGTATGCTCTAATCCCTTGACGTGAACGACTGTTTTCCCCGAGATCCTCACCTTCTTTAATGGTGACACGACCAGCGTTTCTTGCCACTGCTATTGCAGTGGCTATTGAGATGCCACTTTGTATATTCCTTGCCATGTTTGGCTACAAATCATTTGCGTTCTATCTCAGTCAATCAGAGTTGGTAGCTAAAATCACAACACACATGTGGCAAACGATAGATTGGTGAGGACTGCAACAGCCCCCTTATGCAGACTCCAATATCTTACAAAGGTATATACAGGTGCTATGTACTATATGCGATATCCACTCAGCTGGCGACCATACTATTAGCTACCTGTCCACCGTGGTATCTAGGGCAGTCTCTCGCCTCTAACATTCTCTATGTTCTCCCTTGGGCTGTTGCCTGCCAAGTTGCCAAACTCGATCCTAACAATGCGTGGACTTACCATAGCCTGGCTTTTGGAGGAAGCTTAGTGTTTACCTTTGTAGAGCTCTGCCTTATTATTCCATTATGAGCTTGGAGGGTTCTATAGGTTCTTCTGTAAGTGTATATATTGTCGCGGACACGCTTTTCTGTATGGTCTTATTGAACAGTACACCACCATGATAAACTAAGATTTGCTTTAACTTGATGTGTGCTCTTTTCCAATCCCGTCGTTCCACATTCTATCTTGTATCCCTTCTTCTATATGGAGATGAGGTATTAAGGAAGAGATTAGGCTTAAGCCCTCTAGAAGGGTCTTATGTTATTTTATGGCCTTTAACTATAAGCAGCTGCTCTTAAATAAGCGGTGCTAATAGATTTCATACTGAGAGTCATACACCAGAAAGCCAGAAATCAAGTAGTAACGTCAGACCTTTAATCGATCTTATTAGAGTTTCGGCCCTGAAATATCCGTCTCAAAGCTGTGCCTCCTCGGGCTAGATGGTTGGCCTTTGCATACCAGGTAGTGCATCGCTCAGATAGACAATCTAGAAAAATTAGTTACTATATTAGAACTCCCTGTAGGAATCTTACCTAGCCAGCACCAATGCTAAATCCTCATTCGAGTTTGGACAATGACCAACTTTACACCCTTCACACAATTCACTATCGTGCGGACCTCTGCTCTGGCCAGAATAATCGGGCCGCCGTACCTCAAATCCATTCCATTTTTTGAGCTAGTAGGTCACTCTTTCTGCATAGCACCCGCTATCTAGGACGAGCCGACCAACGGTTCTGCAATTTCTGCATCGCTGGTGATACACACGCGCATTGTATCGCTGTTGGGAGTACATGCGAATTGTAATCGCTATCTTTTTGCTCGACCAATCACTGGAGTTATATCTCCTGTTTTGGCAGATGAATCGGCCCATGACGTTCGTGTCCCGTTCCTCAATGTTGGTTTCCTCATCATTGGCGTCAAAGAAGTCTATTTAAAGACCTTCCTCGTCTAACAGCTGTGCTACGTCGTCATGAAGCTTCGGGTGAAGCGACCACAATTTCGCAGCTTTGCGTCCCTTGCGTGGCATGTTGAATCTGGTTGCCGGTAGTGGGACTATAGGATGTCAAAAGATTGCACTGGAAGCACGGAGCATGGCCTTGGATGGGTTACGAACACTTTTCTGGGACAAGGTCTACCCCGCTTCAAAGCAGCAGCTGTACCGCCTGAGGACAACAAATCGCTGCCACAGCACGAGCTGATTGGTAGATATATTTCAGCACTAATTTCTCAGTTTTCGCTATATCTAAGCGCTGAGACCTATGGGCACTGAAGCATGTACTAAACCAACTGATTCAGCCAACAGTTAATCACACTCTTTCTGTAACCGGGCAAGGGAAGAAAACGAAATGAAAAGCTTCAGGTACAGGTAGTGGAACAAAAGTCTGACGTGTTTGTCTAATGTGGCCATATGCTTCTTAGCGAGAGTCGAAAACAAAATTAGACACTAACTGGTAGGATATCCATAATAGAAGCGATGTC